ACCAGTGTAAGTCAACTGGCACTTACATGTAAATTGGTAAATACAATTAGTTTTATATATCGCATGAAGACAACTGAACATTGAATTAGCACTGTTTTCTCTTCTTTCTCTGTGTATTCAAACCACTTTAAGGGTACATGTTGGGCGCTTTTCTTTTAACCCAACAAAGGTGCCGCGGTGAAAAAAATTTAAGAAACGCTGGTCTAGGGAGTCCTTATCATTCGTCTATAAAACCACACCTCAGTCGCTTCAACGTACTTGTTCACTAATTGGCCAACTGATGGTTTGCTTGTTTTCCTCTTTCTCCTTTTGTTGTCCATTTCTGCCTTTCGGCGTCAAGTTTTGAAGAGGCACCGGGTGCGCGCTTTAGTACGTGCAACGTAGATGCTAGTATTTAAGTCCTCAGATATTTCATCTATCTTGAGTGTCTGCTCTGTGGCTAAGTCGAACGCTTCGTAATGCCGAGATGCAGTGTTCGATCCCAGCGGCGGGCCACGCGCCTTGCGTTGGTTTCGACAGTGGTATCAAGAAAGCCGACCGTCCAGTGAGCAATGGCAAACTACTGGACATAAATTTCCCTAGAAAAACCACACAACAGCCAGGGGCTGTTGGGGTTGGTTCTGCAACGTCCTGTAATGGATACGCAACTAACCATAGCTTGCGTGGTCGACTTCTAGGTCTGATTACATTATGTATAAGTGACAGGGCTATATGTGGGCTTATATAGTGGTAATCTTGGCATATGTCAAAACTATTTGATGTATTGTCGCTTAATGTAGTTTAGTACTGGTTGCGTCCCAACCTCTTACCTGATATCGTCATTTCTGGTCCTGACTCTGGTAGTCACTTTTAGAATTCTTAGCAGACATTTCATGTCTATTTTTTTTTTTTTTTTTTATCATGTTTGCGTCATCACCAAGCAAACCGTTTGTCCACTGAAATGTATGATGGATAATCGGCACAAGAATATACAAATTATGACTCGATTGCAAAGACTGTACTTCAAGGAACATTGAATGGGGGAGAAGCGGGAAAAAGTATGGGGGAGGGGGGGGGTAGTCGAAGAAGAGGAGGGCAAAGAAGAGCCTGGAATGACAACATCAATAAATGGACAAGATCAAGTTATCAACCTCTGCAGGCAGAGAAGCAGAGGCAGACTAAACAGAACTGTATTGCTAATCCCATACCTAATGCTGAATCCACCTGTTGTCCGCACTGCTCAAGAACTTTCCAGGCTCATATTAGACTAATTAGCCACCTTTGTAATCATAATCATTGCGCTGCGGGTGACAAGTGGTCTTCATCCCTCGTGATGGACAACAACATAAAAAACATTTACCACCCTATTTCCCGGCCATTTATCTATGTGTATTATTTACAACGGGAGTCGCCGTGGCCGAGCGGCTAGACGCTCCTTGCGGATCGGAATGTTGTGGGTTCGCTCCCTGGCGGAGCCGGACTTGTTTCAAAAATGACCTTGGCTCCCAGGTCGATCCAGACTTGAGTGGGTACCGGAAAGTAAATGCGGCGGGCGTTATGCTGCCCACATTATCTATCTTATGCCGATTGGTCTTTAAAAATATAGATCTAGCCCTATATGCCCTATACGCCTCAAGGCGTGGGAAAAGTTCCTTTACTTTATTTACTGTTTGCCTTATGATGACTTCGAATCTAGAACTCAGCGCCGGCTACTGAAGGTGATGAATGAATGCTTATGGAAATTTTTCGACTGCTATAGTGTCGGTTCTTAAATCAACTCAACTCTGTTAGCCTCAATAGTGTTTTGGGTAGCACACTTTCTTGTCCACCAGTGAACCATATGTTCGAATACCTTTCAGATCGGGATTGGTATCAAATCATGGCTCCCAGGCCTAAAAGTGTGTACCAGAAAATGTTCTCGAAAGAAAGTGCCTGATATTTTACTAATCTCCCATCGAGTGTTAACTGGTGCCTTAAAAAAAGTTCTCAAGCAACTATTTAAAAGCATAAGATGGATAATTCTACCGAAATAGTAATTATATATTAATGACTGGCTGAAGCAGTTACAACGTCTGGCTCTCATACCGGAGACCCGGGTTCGATCCCCGGTAAGGTGATGAAGGTTTTCTGTCAGGGGCAAAGTAAAACATCTTAATTTCTAGATGTTCTTGGGTCGTTGAAAGCTATGTCATCGTGTAGTATAGTACACGCGTGACACCTCTCCAGCGTAGAAGAGTCTGAGAAACTATGAATGAAAGGCCAGGTAGTGTGTAGATGGGCGGCTAAACGTGAACAGGGCCGACAATATATTTCAAATAATAGCAGTATAAAATAACTGACACAGCTGAACGAAATACACATCCACAATGTCCAAGGTTAACTGGAAAATATAGTGTTCGGTGTATTTAAGCTATTTGCGTAACCTTTACAGGATGTTGCAGAACCAATCCCAGCATTTTGGCTGTTACAGTAGTTTGTCCCTGTTCTCTCCACGGTTAACTTCCGGTACCCCTGTCGAAACCAACGCAACACTTTCTGCTGTCAAATCTCCTGCAGCTGGAATCGAACCCCGCATCCTGACATTATGAAGCGCGTTCGCAGCGCGCCACAAACGCAAACTTTAGAGTTTACACTTTGCTGTTGTAATTGTTAATGTACACTCATCTCTACTTTATAGCACAGAAACCGTGACAATAAACGGGCAGCTACAAAATCGAACTGAACCTCTGGAGGTGTGGATATAGAGCATAGGTCATATTCTATGGAAGCGGAAAAGGTAGTCTGGTAGTCTTAGTTTCAGCTTCTTAGCAAACGGGTCACCCCATCTTTGCTCCGTTCCTGTGCCAACGAAAAACACACAGAATGTTTATCTCAGTCCCTTGTGGGCAGATTGACAGACTGCTGTCTCAGCATATCTAGCATACACACGCATTAAAGCATACGGTAGCCATCCGATGTGCCAACACAAACAGTCCGACATTAGAAATGCAGTTCATTATTGATGGTGGCAGAAGTCACCAACAGATCAGACTGGAGGGGGGGGGGCGGGACGGGTAAATACAGACATTCTTGAGAGACTGTAAATCTTCTTTTTCTTCTACTTCTTCTTTGTTCACCGGCTGTAAGCTCCGGAGAAAAATCCTGATTGTTCGTCCATTTGTACTTTGGCTTTGTGCCACGGCCTGAGTAGTGCGTGTACATCCGTTTTACCAAATTATTTGCGAGCAGTGGATTGTTACTTTGCCACTCGGACAGGCGCATTCCTCCTCCTCCTTCTTTGTTCACCGGCGGTAAGCTCCGAATTAAAGTCTTGGGTTATGCGTCCATTTGGACTTTGGCTTTACGCAAGGGACTGAGTTTTGCGTGTACATCCGTTTTACTGGCTTTTTTATGTGCAGTTGATTGTTCCTTTGCCGATTAGGCAGACGCACTCGAACTTCGAAGGAAGCTCCCACTTAGTGGACTCTTACGACATGCTTTTTTTTAGGGGGTGGAGGAGGGCAGACAATGGGTCTATTCTTGTTTTACCCTTAATGAGGGCCTAGAACCCACTCGGGGAAGATGGTAAATGAAAACAGAGTTGCTGAAAGAAATTACAAACACAAGAGACACATGAAATATTTTCGCCCTATCACAAGACATAACACTCTTTTTAAAACTAAACTGGATGGAAAATTCGAAGGCAAGAGGTTATTAACGATACACATGGGAGGACAACATAAACAGATTTACAAAGAGTAGTCTCAGAGAGTTTACTACCAAGAACCAAGACAATAGTTCTCGTTTCCCGTGTCGGTTTTGGGCCCCGTTTTGGGGGAAAATACAAATAGACCCACTGTCCCCCTTTCAAGCATGTCGTAAAAGGTGACTAATTAGATTTGTTTCCTTCTAAGTCGGAGTGCATCTGCCTACGAGGCAATGAACTGACAGTCTGCATATAAATGAGCCAAGTATTTAAAACGGATATTCATTCAAAATTCAAGTTCTGGAATAAGACTAAAGTCTAGAAGTGGACGAACAACCATAACTTTCCGACGGAGCTTATATCTAGTGAACGCCAAATAAAAGAAGAATAGTTATGGTGAAAAGATATCAACCCAAACGATAATTAGAAGCAGCGAGCTTAAAATTTTAACAGTCGCGAACGACACGAATTTTAAACATTGTTTATTGGTGCTATATGTTGATGAAGGCTTTTCAGCCGCAACGTTAATTTGTCTTTTGTGGTTATGATAATGTGAAGCTCTAAAGTTCTACTCGTTTGGTTTGATATCTTTTTTTTTTTTTTTTTTATTGTTAAAGCCATTCCTTAATTGATGTTACCAAGACTAGAGGCAAAGAGTGTTGTAAATCAGTTAGAACCAACTTTAATTGTGGAGACGGCACACGGTAGACTGGGTAAATGATTTATTGTTTACATTTATGTAATTTGTTTCAACTGTCTTTTATTTAAAAAATATCCTGTTTAAATCTCTTTCGGACTAAATTATGCTGTACATGTTTCCCCACGACTAAAAAGTCAGACTAATACCAGTATAAGCCATACAAAAGCAACGAAACGAAGCCTTGCTTCCCGCTAAGAATATTATATCAGGGTTTTCCTTTTACGAGCTGTCAAATTTGACAGGTCTTGTCAATCACCCATCAAAATCCTAGAAATGTCTTCCTCCCACTGGCTCCCTGCGCCGTGTCCTGGTCCAGGAATCGGGTCATTGGGTCAAATCCCTTCTGCGCATGCCCATGGCGCATGAAACTCAGCACAGTCATTTTTTATTGGTTAAGCTGCGGGAACAGGCTCATTATGTATGCAGATCGCCATTTGCTTTGAGTGGCTCAGACGATGTTCCCTCCCAGTTTTTCTTGTGAAGTAGATTATTTATGTTTGCCATCATGAAAGTGTGGTGATGATAGTTTAGAAAATTGTTATCGTGCATGAGGACATTTTTCAAATTTGTTAACTGAATTATAAAGTTGTTTTGAGTTTGTAGGAAGGTGGAATTTGTGAGTAGATTGTATTCCAAATGAACGACTTCAAGATGGACGAGCAACAAAGACTGTCGCATCCATCACAAGGGCAAGTCAATATGTCCAGCGTGATGGCTGCACAGGGCTATGATGGTTCATACGGGCCCGGCGACCACGGGGAGCAGAGAAAGCAGGAGATCGGAGATGTACTACAACAGATAATGACAATAACAGATCAGAGCTTAGACGAAGCGCAAGCCAGGTATTGCACAACTGAACTAATAAATTTAGTAACTTTAAGAAACTATGGCTGAACAACAATGTCTTTATATATTTTGTGTGATAGAATAATAGACAAAACAACACATTGTTTTCAGAGTAGTTTTGTCGTTTTGAAATAAATAGTGGTCCTTAAGTTAGTTAAGGCTTAACGTGGCTGTTTTATTAAGCATCTAAAATGATTTAAAGTCACGATCTTCCACCATTTCGTTGACCTAATAATATAAATAATACCTTCTTAAGAATAACTTTCCCGTTCGTTTGTAGCGGAGGTTGCGGCTACAGAATCTTCATCAGCATATTTATGTTTTATTAATATAGTGCTTACGTCATTGCTTGCACATTGGTAAAACACACAGATGCTCAGTCTTCAAGGAATATTTGATTGAATAAAGTATTTAACTTTTACCATTATAATAATTGCAGGTATTTAAAAGGAATTCATGATTCAATAACACTTATTTTAGTGGATAAAAACTTTAGTTTTATTTGACTTTAAATTTAAATAAAAATAAAATAATTTGTGGCTATCCTCCGAATAACAAGCACATATTATGGCGTCCAAAAATATACCCCAACAGGGCCTCTGTCACGTGTACATTGCGGACTTCTGCCACCGCTGAGCGGCGTGGAGTGGGGCTTAACTACTTGGCGGGGAGTCACAAGCAAATAAAATGAAAGAAGCTGCAGGAGATGCTGTAGCTGCTGCTCTTGAGTCCCAGCCATCTAGTTTAGCCCCAATCCGCATAGCTGCATGGGAGATAACTCGTGGCGGAGGTCGCTGGAAGTCTGCATTCAAGTTGCCGGGAGTCTGAAATTTACATGTGATTGAGGGCCTGTCAGGGTGTGTTTTTAGTCGCCATAATGTGCGCTTGTTATTCGGAGGATATCCTAATTTATTTTTGATTTGTACTCAACCACTTAGTCATATTGATTTATCTTTTACTTTCAAGACTTACATGAATGCCGATTATTTTATATATAAGTACAAGTATGCTTATTTTAAATCATTGTGTGTGTTTTATGCTAATGAAGGTTCTACTTGCAATGCAACATTTATTTTGTCATTCAGTTTATGATTGTGTTTCATTTATTGAAAAGCTGACTTCCTCTCATTGTGGCTTGATTTTGTCTCATGAAAATTCAAATAATAATAATGTAGTAAGTCGTCTTGGAACAATGAAACAAAATATTTGATTCTCAACACATATTAACTGCAATTGTTACTTTATTTACTTATACCAAGCTCACAGCAGGGGAGGAAGAAAACGATGCACAGAAAGAATTCAGCTTCCATGAATTTTTTTTTTTTAGTATAAAGGACCTTTTCCCACACCTTCAGATGTATTAGACATATAGGGCTAGACCTATATTTTATAGACTAATCAGTATTTGGTGGGTAATATGATCAACATCATGCTAGCTGTCTTTACTACTAAGGACTGAACCTGGTACCTACTGAAAGCTTTGTCGACCTGGGAGCCAAGGTCATTTTTAAGAAAGCCTGGTTCCATGAGGTCCTGAACCCACAACCTTTCAATCCACAGGCAAGCGTATAACCGCCACATCACGGCGACATGAAGTCATTTACTTAAGTTAAATACCTATGACATCTGATCCAAGAGAAGAAACACTAGTAATAGTTATATATGTTCACAATCTTTGCCTTATGTGCTTCAGTCATTTCTTTTACAGAAATCCTGTCCATGAGATTATGCCACAGCTAGGTCGTCCTCTAGTCATCTACTTCTCGTTCTCTCTTCTTCTTCGCGTTCACCAGCTGTACACTCTGGCGGAAAGTTCTGGTTGTTCGTCCACTGCAGTTCTGCTCCAGAACCTAAATGTTGCGTGTGCATCAGTTTTATAGATCTGATTCACTTGAATGCAGACTGTTGGTTCCTTGCCTCTCAGGCAGATGCACTCTTACTTTAAAGGAAGCTCCCCAGTTAGTCGACTCTTACGACATGCTTTTGGGGAGGCAGTGGGTCTATTCTTGTATTCCCCACAATAGGGCCCCGGAACCCACACGTATGTCATTTCTCTAATTTCATTGTTGCGGCAGTATGCTTCAGATTTCTCTTTTTTTTTTTAAACAAAACCTGTACAGAGAATATAGATTGTCTTTTTATGATGTAGGTCAGAGATTCTCAACCTGCCGGTCATAACCCTTTTTTGGGTTCGAACATCCCTTTCACAGGGGTCGCCTAAGACCATCGGAAAACACATATTCATTAGAATTATGAAGGAAAATAATTGTTTGGGATCGCCACACGATGAGGGAACTGTTTTAAAGCGTTGTGCCTTTAGGAAAGTTAAGAACCACTGCTGTAGGTAGTCATCTAGTTAGCTTCCTCGTGTGGGTTTCAAGGCTCTAATATTCTGGGGGGTTAGATTCACCACACTGCCAGTCTAACAAGCATGTCATACAAGGTGCCTAGGACAGTTTCCTTCTGAGAGGATCTACTTGAGAGACCAGGAACTAACAGTCTGCACACAGAACTCCAGTTCTGGAACAAGACCACATCTCAGAAGTGGACCAACAGCCAGACGTTTCCACCACCAGAATTTACAGCTGGGGATGCTAAGAAGAAGAAGATTGACTTCTCTTTATGGGTTAATTTCTTTACATACATTGCATATTTATGTTTTTTGGCACTTTTCCAGATGCTAGTGTTATATTAAGCTATAGGGCAGCATGGTAATCAATGCTTGTGGGGATGGTGAGCGTGACTTGCAGGGCCTGCTTGCATTTTTTAAAAAAAATTCTCAGAATTTCTGTGATATAATTGGAATTATGTGTATCTATTGTGCTTCTTAGATCTCTGTAATCATCCCCCCCCCCCCTTTACACACTTACAGTTTATTTGCTCCTCCCATGCAGCACTGACCATGATATCTGCATAGTTATTGTGTGTCTAGCTGCCCATAATTGAAATAAAAGGGAGCAGTAACTTTTGTAGCTTTATACCTTGAAGATAACAATAAAATATAGTATTGTTACTTGTTTCCAGGGAGAATTTAACTTTTCCGGGGGGGGGGGGGGGGGGGGGGGGGGGGGGGGGGGGGGTTCCATAATTTTGAGTTATTTAGCAGGAAAAAAGGCAAAAGAGTTAAATAAGTTCTAGAGAGACTAGAACTGGAAAGAGATCTTATGATAGAAATAAAAACATTTTAAAAAAAACAGATTAACTGTTTTAGTGAGGTCAAAAGTACGTAACTCATTATTGAAACCATTTTGCAGGGGAAAGTCAGTACTTTACTTTTCATTCACCCCATTTTGGGGACTTAGATTTCTTGGGGAGTTCCACGAAAAGTCCAAAATGGGGTGGGGGGGGGGGGGGGGGGGGTGGGAGGGGTGTTGCTGTATTAATTTCACATCCTAACACCCCTATACTATTGTTTTCCCAAGAATTCTACATGAAATCTCAGAGGGGATTTAACGAAAAATTGAAAAAGTCAAAGACAATTGAGCTAGAGAAGAGGTAGACATGTGGGGTCATAACAACAAGAGATGCATAAACAACAGTCTGTCAGAGTGAAGAACTAGGACGAGCGACAGAGGGTGTTAGAAGATCAATTACAGCCAACCTTTTTAGTGTGGTGATTGTACCTAACTGATTGATGGATTCAAAAAAAACTTAATTATACATTTGTTTCTGTTTAGGAAACACACACTCAACTGTCACCGCATGAAACCAGCCCTGTTTAATGTCCTGTGTGAGATCAAAGAGAAAACAGGTATGTCCCACCTTTCAATCAAAGCTGATTGTTCCGTAAGAAGTAGCAGCAGTACATAACAGACACATTTTACACCAGTGACCCATGATGCCAAACTCATATTTTTATAGACCACTTGGCTTGTTACTTCCTAGGATTACCTGGTACGTAGGTTAGGCACGGTTGACCTTAGAGCCAACACCAGTTTTGAAGAGAGAAAAAAATGCTCCATGATGCAGATTTAAGCCCAAACATTTCACACTGGCAGGGTGAACTTATAACCCCACTGTTGCCATGCCTTCCTCCATGTAAAATAATGACTAATAATTATTCACTATAGATAACTTTTATAATTTTGATGAGATTCATATAATTTTTTAATTACTGGTATTAAAGGTAAAAGTAGTTCCATGACAGATACTGAGGGTGAGGTGTGAAGTGTGAGACGTCATAGATTCCAAAGGCCAGTTTCCTTTGTCCTGGGTCAGCCATATAGCTTTACTAAAGTAAACTTAGAAAAGAAATTAAAGGACCTTTTCCACGCCTTTAGGCTTAATGGGCATTCAGGGCTAGACCTAAATTGTATAGACCAGTTGGCACTTGGTAGGTGATGTGGTCAGCATCATGCCGGCCGCCTTTACCTCCCAGGACTTGTATCTGGTACTCACTCCCAGCTTTGTCGACCTGACAACCAAGGCCATTTTTGAAGAAAAAAAACAGGCTCCTGCATGACCTGAACCCACCACCTTACAATCCACAGGCGAGTGTCTAGCCACTACACCAGGGAAGCTCCCTAAAAAATGTATGGCTCCATCTGGGCCCACACCCTTGATCATTAGATTTGAGTTATGATTTGGGTTATCTTAACGGCAATCCGGACACGTCCATAGGTGCTCAGATACCCCCTTCAACATATACATCAACATCTTGCGGTTGATAGTCTCGGTCCTGTGTTGGTTGACAAGACTTCTCGTGCATCCAGTATGCTTCTCGTACCTGGCTGTGCTGATCTTTACTCCCAATTCTTGCACTCTTAGCAAAGATGTGGAAGTGCTGCTCCTAAAATCCTCCTAACGTTCTACCTCTCTAATGGCATGATCCATGGGCCGGCCCTCTGTTACTAAGGCAGAGTCGGCTAATTTGTAGACTCTTTCATCGCCATCAACACCCGCATCCCCTGAGAGAGGGAGATGTTCACCTTATGACCGATCGGTGATGTCATTAGCAATGTAAAAACATGTTAAATCGGAAATAGTTTCTTTTTGCTACAGTATAACTGTTTATTGAAGAAATTATGATTCAGATCAGTCTTATTGTTCTGCATTGTTCAACGTCAACCTGAATATATTTAAAGGAAGCAGCCTAGATATTTATTTGTTAAGATTGCTATCAGCTGACATCTCCACCGAGAGTGTACTTTGTGGCTTTGGATTTTTCTTGTCCTGCCTAAGCTAGACACGTTCACAGCAAATATTTAACTGTATTTTTGCCAAGTATACAGTTATTAACATTATGTCATATCTTTAACCTGTTGAACAAATGAAAATTTAGAGAGATTTCCATCCAGTGCTCTGTTGAACAAATGAAAATTTAGTCAGAGATTTCCATCCAGTGCTCTGTTGAACAAATGAAAATTTAGTCAGAGATTTCCATCCAGTGCTCTGTTGAACAAATGAAAATTTAGTCAGAGATTTCCATCCAGTGCTCTGTTGAACAAATGAAAATTTAGTCAGAGATTTCCATCCAGTGCTCTGTTGAACAAATGAAATTTAGTCAGAGATTTCCATCCAGTGCTCTGCAGAACCTGTTGAATAAACTAAATTTTTATTAATTTTGTCAGTTTCCATCCTGTGCTCTGCAGAGCCTTAGGGGTTCCATGTGTACCCCCCAGAGGCTCCTTGTCTGCTTCATGAAAATAAGTAAAAACTTATTTAAATTGAGGGAAAAAAATAGAAGTAAAATAAGAAAACTAAATTACATTCTGAAATTTGCCCAGTTTTAGTTGGCCATACTGCTGCTGTTGGCTTTAAAAATGTTGTAGTACATTGTAGACAGACAATGCAAGGGAGTGAGTGCTTGCCTGTCATGTGCATGTGTAATCCTGTGTCATGAGTGGATTAAGATTGATAATTGGATGAGAGCATCAGAGTATGAGAGCATCCATGGATGGGTAGGCACATAGAAAGACAGATAGAGGAGAGAGAAGTAACTAGCTGCCAAGTATAAAGGGAAAACATATCATACATATTTGGCATCAATATACACATTTCTTTCTTTATTGGCCCTTCTATCATTTGAGAATTCAGTTTTGCACAGGACCTAATACGTATTGTTTTAATTTAATAATCTACAGTTTTTTTAATTATACAAAAGCATATAACATATATATTAGGCGACTCGGGCTGTCACCCCATGATTTCTATCACTGAGGCTTATAGGAAAATATTTTTTTAGTAACTGTTCATTTCCTCATGGCTGGCCGAACGGTTAGAGCTGGGCTCTCAAGCAGAATACCCTGGGTTTGAACCCTCCGTAAGGCTGGGGATTTTTTTTCTGTCGGGGGAAAAATAAAACCCTTACCTGCACAGTCGTGGCAACAGCACTAGTCATGCAGCCGTAAATCCTCAGGCTCAAATCCCCCCTCCCCGTGTGCCTATGCCGCAAAAGAGATATAAAGGTAGTGATTGGCAGTTTTTTTTTAAATCCTCGCCTCCTAGCCGTTGTGCAGGAAAATACTCAGCCAGTGGCATTAATAACACGTCTCGTAAGTAGGACACTCTAGTTGGAAAAGTTACTTTGATTTTGACAGGATATTGGCTCCCACCGGAAGTGTTCGTTTTACAGCTTCTCATGAAGACAGGGTTCAAGCTTTTAAACTTTCAATTTATAGATAATTGTACGAATGACACAAAAAAAGCATCTGCTTAATTCTAATTCAAGCGTGACTGATTTTCTCTCTCTCTTAGTTTTAAGTATACGAAACACACAAGAGGAAGAGCCCCCAGATCCCCAGCTGATGAGGCTTGACAACATGCTCATCGCAGAAGGTGTTGCAGGGCCAGAGAAAGGTGGTGGTTCCACCGCTGCAGCCAGTGCCACTGCGGCTGCGTCAGGAGGCCAGCCAGACAGTGCCATTGAGCACTCTGATTATAGAGCCAAGCTTGCTCAAATTAGACAGATTTATCATACAGAGCTTGAGAAGTATGAACAGGTAAGGTTTTTTTTTTTTTTAATGCTGGGGGGGGGGTGTATTTTTGTTTGAATTCAGACATAACGACACAAGCTTACACCCCCACCCCCCCTTTTTTTTTTCTTTCTTCCCCTTTTTTTCTGTCCTGCTTATTGAAATGCTGATAATTATTTTTCCCTAGTTACACAAGTTTGAGCATTCTGCTCCCCCTTCTGCTGTCTACCTATTTATCTATCCCTTCCTCACTCTATTCTCACACTCCGTCTTTTCCCTTTCGCTCTTTCTTCCTGTCTCTCCCTTCTCACCTCTCTCCTCTTCACTTCATTGCTCTATCTTTTCTTTCTGTGTATGTATGTGTGTGAGTCATAACCAATTTATCTGTCCAAATGATATTGGAATGGGGAATGTGTTCTTGAAGTGAGATGTAAAGGCCCACATTTGTTTGTTGTTTAAATACTTTCATGAAAGTCTTTTTAAGTTGATGTGTTCACATTCAGGTCATCTGAACTTGAAAACAGCTTGCATTAATCATATTGAAATTATTGTAGACTTTATTCTAGCACATGTACCAACTGTGTGTGGAGAATGTTGCAGAGTTCCCCTTCCCCTCTCCAAGTAACATCTCAGCAGGATGTGCAAGACAGGTGCTATAGAAGCTTTGCTTTATAACCACAAAACATTGTTGTAAACGTTAATTAAAGGATCCTTTTCATGCAAGCAGCACATCAGGCATATAGCCCGTGTCTCATATTTTGATAGATCAGTTGGCACTTGATGGGTGATGCTAACTTCAAACTTTTAGGAAGCATATTAGGATGTAGCCAGATCGTAACTCAGCTCAGCACATACCAACTGGCTTTAATCAGGCCTAGGTCAACGTGTTTCTTTTGCAGAAATAGATTCTGCTGTTTGAGTGGCTTTAGCGCTGGCCTCTTGTTTGGGAGACAGGTTCTATACTTAGCAAGGGATGGAGATTTTTTTCTTGTCAGGGGCTAAAATAAAAAATTTCACCTGCATAGTTCATGGCAACTGCACCAGCTATGTGGCCTTGAATCCTCAGGCTCACAACGCCCTTACCCTATACCACCTTTAAAGTGGTTAACTGCAAACAGCTGTTTTTGTGTGTGTGTTTTTTGTTCAAGTTGCAGGTAAACCGTGTTAACACAAATTCCAAGCAACCGCCAAAAACGTGTGTGCTGACTGGGAACTAATAGATGTATTATGAATAACACATCCCTGCTAGAGTGAAACTTTTGTTCATGTTACCCTGTATTGGTCTTATGCGAAGTTGTATTAACAAGGTTTTATTGTATTTCATGGCTGTTCAACTAAGTTTACTCGGGGGCTAAAATCTTGAAAGTGGATCGTCGCGGTCCGGAGCCCCAGCATACAGGGTCACTTAGACAAAAGAGTTGACAATGATCTACATGTCACTTGCTAGGCCCATGCAGGTCAGATTCTCAGACAGCTGGCTGCCAATTGAATAACCCACTTGTTTTTCATTGTCAACATACTTAAGCCTCATGCCTGGGAGAGTCCCCATATTTAAACTAAGACATACCAATACATAACTTGTATGCTTCTCTGTAGTTAAAGCTCAGAACGGTGTTAGCTGTTTTATTGCTTGTAAATACAATAATGCTCATTTTCAGGCTTGCAATGAATTTACTACTCATGTGGTCAACCTGTTGCGAGAGCAAAGCCGGACAAGACCAATACAACCCAAAGAGATTGAAAGAATGGTCGGCATCATCCGGAAGAAATTCTCAGCTATAGAAATGCAGTTGAAGCAGAGCACCTGCGAAGCTGTCATGATTTTGAGGTCGCGCTTTCTAGATGCTAGGTGGGTGTGTTTTCTGACACATATACCATATTTTTCCCTGTATAGGTTGCCCCCCGTGTATAAGATCATCCCTACATTTTAGAGAACAAAGATTTGAGTCACATTCACTGTATAAAATGACCCCCAAATTAAACTTAACAAATCTGAGATAACATTGCTTTTTATGTAAGGAAAATGTGGTAGTTATTGCACCCAGCTGTGACAGTAAAGACATGGAACGAAGGTTAGCTGCATTCAAAAATGAATTCAAGAGGGAACTAACTGATGCATATTAAATGGGATGAATACCCAAAAAAAAAAAGATGATGAAATGAGAGAGATGCATGAACAACCAATATTGCCAACAGTTATAAGACAAAGAAGATGACATTTTATTGACAACATACTGGGAAAAAGCGAGCTGAGAGTCGCCAAACAAGCACTGAAATAGGAAACAAATGTATTGAGGAAACGAGGACGTCCAATGGACACTATAAAGTGAACATTTGTGAGAGAGGCCAAGGGTCCTGGGCTGGATTTCATACATGATATTTCGAGAATTGCACAGAATGGAATGGAAGATTAGACTTGAGTCCTGTGTGGCCTATGATGGCTCAAAGGGATGATAATGATGCAGGCTGAGGCAATTGAGGTTAACTAGATAGATGGATCAGCATTGTTCAGTTGACCTACATCGATTGATTATTAGGTCGGTAAATTGCTTGTTCACTCAGTATAATAGATATGTCGAATATATTGATTAATCTATTGATATACATTGATTGATGTATAAATCTGTATAGACTGCTGATGATCGGCAAGTAGATGGTGATAGGTCACTTAGTGTAATTGATGACTAGGTTGACCTACTGATTTGATACACTGATGTAAGTTCTCCTCATGTGGGTTCCAAGGCTCCATTTTGTAGAACAAATAATAGACCCATTTCCCCCCCTCCCCCCCTCCCCCAACAAGCATGTCATAAGAGGCAACTTATTAAGAGTGTTTCCTTCAAAGTCGGAGTTCATATACGAGAGAGGTAAGAAAACAAAAAAATCTGTTTACAAATAAGCCAGATCTGTAAAAAATGGATGCACAGCCACAAACAACCAGAACTTTCTGCGGCAGTTTACATCAGAAGAAGAGAACATTTGTTTTTCATAGTTCTGATCATAGCAGGTTTTGTTACTGCATGCAGATGTAGAAAGAGAGAGAGGACATTTTAAATCTTGAATTTGTAAGGTAAGTGAGCCTGCTTCAGTTAAAGGTACTGGTGCAGTGAAAAATAGATGCATACATGTAAGCACTGTTGATTGTGCTGAATCAGTAAACAAAGCTGTGATCGTCACTGGAAAATGATGAACATAAAATGGGATCAATTCAGGAGGGGAGAAGAAATAAGAGACATGTGGGCAACTGCTGGTTTCAACAGTTATAAGATAGAGAAGATGGTGCGGTGGACACATTCTGATACAAAAAGAGCAGAGAATCAAAAAATAGGCAAGTGGGAAATAAAGGACGCCCAGATGAAACCCTAAGACAGACGTTGATGAAAGAGACCAAAGTTGCCATTCTGGATTCCGTCTATGATATTGAATTAATTGCACAGAATAGAACCAAATGAAGACTACGAACCCTATGTGACATTTAATCACACAACAGGACAATAATTGATTGGTCAAAACTCAAAAACTTTAGCAGAGAAGACAACGAATGAAATATTCACGAGAGAATACAATAGACAGCAGTAAAATTGCCTTATTGTAGGGAAGGTCTATTCAACTAAGTTCACTTAGGGGCCAAAATTTTGAACATGGAGAATGTCACGGGCCACAGGACAGAGCCAACACATAGAAAGATTACCAGTAAAATACAGCTGGCAGTGTTCCACATGCCGCTTGCTAGGCTTCCGTTGGCCACCAGTTAAATAGCCCTGCTGTAGGCACATGAGAGGTTCTAGACTGTTTCATCAAGCTACACTTTCTCTTCATTACGAGTATAAGCGCTAGAATGCTCAGTAAGTAAGAGAAATAAAAATGCTTCCTTCAGCCAGATGATAAATTGTTTGAGCAGGTGTCATTATTTCTGTGATATATTAGAAAATATTTTTATTGTAGCTTGAGAATATTATCTTCCAACTCTGTCTAAATCTTTCTCATTTTCATTCTTCACCCATCTTTGAGACCAAGCCAATACTTTGTATACATTATGGACTCTTTATTTTAATTGTCTTGTGAGATTCCTGCAATCTAGAGCATTAATATGGCTTCTTTATCTGCTCGTTTTGCATTTTCTGTTCTTTCTTTTCCAGAATTATTTTTAATCTAAAAAGACAGTCTTATTTTGCTTGAAGAGTTGAAAAATAAATTAGCGATCGTGCTTTTCTGACGTTTTCTTTTTGGGTAGACGGAAAAGACGGAATTTCACCAAGAGCGCAACTGAGGTACTCACCGAGTATTTTTACTCCCATCTGAGTAACCCATACCCTAGTGAGGAAGTCAAGGAGGAACTAGCGAGGAAGTGCGGAATATCGGTATCCCAGGTTAGTCCTTTTAACCCGTCTCCTCATACCGTAAAATACCGTGTATTTTGTATGTCCTTGATGGGACTGGCCCCAACTACTTTACATTCTAGGCGACTTTTAGACGGGTTACTTTTGATCCCTTGAATTAGTTCTTGAATGATTGTGATTGGTAGTTGCGATTTTTTTTTTTCTCCAGCTTGGTTTCGAGCTTTCTGCTCTTCCTTTTTGTTGCCTAATTTGTTAACAATCCAGTGCCCTGGATGAAAGAGCTGAGAAAAAGGTAAGATTCTCTTGTTATGCTCTCTTTATTGTTCTTTTTCTTTACACATCTTCTGAATGTTTTGTTAGTCTTTTTTCTCTTCTCTCGTTCGCTGATGTAGACGCAAGAGGAGGAATTTCAGCAAACAGGCGTCTGAGATTTTGAACGAGTACTTCTACTCGCACCTCTCTAACCCTTATCCTAGTGAAGAGGCTAAAGAAGAATTGGCTCGCAAGTGTGGCATCAATGTTTCTCAGGTTAGTTTAAAGTTGTCTGCACCTTAAAGCATCTACCAATCACCAATCAGTCATGTGTTCAGTCTGCCAGTCAGTCATATCTTGTCTCCCAAACTAAAATCAGTACATTTATATCGGTGTAGTCTTTGTGATGGCTTTAAAATCATTTTCATTAAATTCATTTGTTTCTTTTCCAGCTTGTGATAAGTAATGTTGTATACATACATCATGCCTGCAGATAGTGTAGTTCATTTATTGCAGATATAATGTTGACGGCATTGGTAGACCATTTTTAACTGGGGCTATTTCTTCACTAATAAACAAGCCAAACAGTTTCTTCGAGCCTCTGAAATTTGGTATTAAATTACAGAAGAATCCTTAGAATTTCCTGGACATCCAAAAAGAAAACCCAGGTGTTTTGAAAAAGATGAGGGCTCAAAGACAGCTTATCACAAACACCCGAAAGAGACAGTCCTAATTTTTTGGTCATGTTTTGAGAAGAAGGAAACTGGAACATCTTGTGACCACTGGAAAGATCAATGGAAGACAAAAAAATTGACAAGAAGAAAATGCGAAACAATTCTTGACAGCCTTTTATCAAGGCATTGAGTGGTGTCAACACACAAACTGATACATGTTGAAGATCATGGGTTGTGGAGGGGCATCATCCTCCACCCCATTTAGCAAGGCACTTGATGGTGATTGCTTAATTTCTAACTTCCATATCCTGTAGAATTTAAACTGCAGGACTTCTGGACAATTCTACCCCTTCAATGAATAGTATGAGCGTATATGTATGTGTGACAGAGGGAAGGAATAACATAGATGAAATAACGGAAATTAATACAATGAACCATGACTAAAAAGCTTAATGAAAGGGGGAAGGAGAACTATGTACACAAAACGTTTCAGTCAAAGCCTTTCTTGACATGAACAACATATCAATAACATAGGGCAAAGTTCTCAAACCACTAGTACCCATGAGGAGGTCAGATGAATAACCAGCCCTTTTCCCCTTGGTTAAGCTCTTTAGTAACCGTTCATTGGATTAATTTCTTGATATTAGGGTGACTGCAGTCACTCCTGTGTTCACCACATTGTGAAATCCTAGGAGAATGCAAGACATAATAGGAGAACACTTCATCTGTAGAAGCTGGGCTATAAAGTACCCTTTTCATGTCAGAGGACTTTAGACATGAGTGTTAGACTCATATATGTGTAGACCAGTCAGTACACAGTATGTGATTTTAATACTGAAAACTCATACCTGGAGAAAATGATACAGTGAGGAGTGGCTCTGGACGCAGCTTGAGATCTCGAGGGAAGGCAGGGCGAGTAGTTAACCAGATGACAGTGGGTGCCATCAGTAAGGAAATTCTTCGCTGTCAGTTGAGGAGGGAGACCAAGCAAATGTGGGCTTGCCCTGAATGCTGTGATGTTGAATCTTTACCCAGATGAACCTAGATGGTGGGATGTTAGCATCATGTCAACTGCCTTTACTTCTCTGGACGTCCAGGTCATTTTAGACTGGATTTAATTTAATGAGTGAAATTGTTAAAATTGCACACAAGAATACCTTAGGGTTCGACCAAACAATTGACAGTTCTTTTGCATCTGGGTCGTTACAGCTTTTAGGCGTACAGGCCTTCCCATCAACTCCTGATAACCATGCGTTTCCTTTTTTTTTAAACAGTGTAATTCATTCCTCTTAGATAATCAAAACTAGTATCTCCCCTCCTTCCCCCCCCCCCCCCCCCAAATGTGGCTGTACACTCACATTATATTTTCTCCCCAAGGCTTGCTTCATCACCTCTGAAGAGGGACAATGTATCATATTCAGTCTAAGAACTGGACACAGTAGACTCCACCAACATATGTCCCTGCAAACTGGTATCTGAAAAATGCTGAGCATATACTTCAAACATGTATAAATTGTATGTGGCTAACAAAGAAGCCAAATGGCCTGTTCCCACTTTAAGACAAAGGTGTATGGTACATGAGGAGTTTCAGACTGTATGATAGCTTTTACAAGGCTACTCGCCCCCCCCCCCCCCCCCTCGTTTTCTCATGGAAGATTTAAAGAAGTATGATCCCTTTCTCTTGTTGTTTCATTTTAGCTGTAATTTATTAGTGACTCAGTGTCTGACTGGTTTGGGAACTACTGCAGATGAATGGCCGTATTGTTGGTCAAAAGGGCAATATATTATAAAGATGTTGGCATAGAATATATCACTGCTGAATTTCATATTAGCAGTATTTTGTTTGTGCCTAGGTGTCTAACTGGTTTGGGAACAAGCGCATCCGCTACAAGAAGAATATTGGCAAGGCACAGGAAGAAGCTAATCTGTATGCTGCCAAGGCTGCTTCTGCAGCTTCTTCACAAATGGTAGCCGACCCATCTTCACCAACAGGTAAATACAGCCTCAGGTGATCTTTAAGTATTTTACTGATTTACTGTGGGAGATGTTGATAGAACCAATTGATAAATTTACATTAAAATCACAAGTAGAAAGCAGTCATACAAGAATGTGCAGATACTGTGTCAGTGTCTTTATTAAATAGGCAAACTCCGGCTACTCGGCATCGGGATGTCCTGGCTTAATAAATTATCTTAGCTGTTAATGCTGGGGTAAAAGAAAAGGAAAGAGCTGACAGACTGGCCTTGTCCGCAGTGATTGGTGGAGAAAAAAGCATGGTTAAGGTGGAAGAAGAAGCATGGTTAAGGCAGACATACTGAATGCGCTGCGTTCCAGGGGTTTTGAGACAAAGGAACCAGCGATGATGAACCACCTGTTGGAAATTAGTATTAAACAAAGAGAGGCATGCAGAAACTGGTCTCGGGACGACAACAACAAAGATATGCCTATCAACTCCTACTAGGAGGACAGAACACAAATGAGTCAGACTGATGTTCAAGGGTCTCCATACGAAGAACAAGTCACACAAAACATACCACCATCACCAGGAAGCTCTAATGCCATTAATATACCACTCACCCCAGATCAGCATTTGTAAACTATTTTTTTTCCAAACAATATATGAAAGAGGGAGGTCATCAGTAAACATGAACAGAGTGAAGCACTAAATGGAACTAGTGTGAAGCACTAAATGGAACCAGCATGAAGCACTAAATGGAACCAGCATGAAGCACTAAATGGAACCAGAGTGAAGCACTAAATGGAATTAGTGTGAAGCACTAAATGGAATTAGTGTGAAGCACTAAATGGAACCAGCATGAAGCACTAAATGGAACCAGAGTGAAGCACTAAATGGAACTAGTGTGAAGCACTAAATGGAACTAGTGTGAAGCACTAAATGGAACTAGTGTGAAGCACTAAATGGAACCAGAGTGAAGCACTAAATGGAACCAGGGTGAAGCACTAAATGAAACTAGTGTGAAGCACTAAATGGAACCAAAGTGAAGCACTTCTTCTTCTTCTTTCGTTCGCCTGAAATAAGTTGTCTATATCAGCAGTTTTGTCTCTTGTATAAATTTCACTGTCGTTGTTAGTTCATTCAGTGGTCCATAGAGTTTACATTTCACTGTTGTTCTTTCTGGCCAAAAGGTTTGCCTTAATGTGTCAAATTCAGTGCAGTCCTGGAGTACAGGAGGGGTCCTGAGAGTTACAGGAGTGAAGCACTAAATGAAACACATTCCCAGGGGCCTTTAACAAAATATGTACTAGCTAACTCATGCTGTGACTTCGTTACCTCTATCACTGAGGGTTACAGGAAGATTTGACATCAGCTTGGCTTTAAAATAGCCATTGGGATCAAAAGGAAGCTCTCCTAAATCCTATTTGTAGTTACCATATTCACAGCCGGGCTTCCTAAGCTCTGTCAAGTGCACAAAGAACCGCTGGCATTTCAACTACCCTTTTTGAGAACAGGTCTCTGCAGAAATGGCCATACATCTGCATGTACAAGGTTGTGTCACGACCAGAAGTATCTAGATATGACCTCAGGCTAAACAGGTTAATGAGCCATGAGTATATTCATTTTTCTTACCCCCAAAATGTGCCCCAGAAACCACAATGGGAGGCTTTGCTTCGTCAGTAGTGGGGGATACATCCCATACTTATCTTTGTTGCAGGTTCAAGTAACTACAGTCTTCCTTCCTCCCAGTCTCAGATGGCAGGACAGGGCAGCATGTACATGAATCTTAACGGAGATGGCTACCCAGGTGGAGACAATTCCGTAAGTACTCCATTTGTGTGGCATGCTTGCTTTTGTTTCTTTTCTGTATTGTCTTTGTTTTTTGTTTTTGTTTTTTTTTAATTGTATTGTTTCTTAAGTAGAGTGTGTTCTCAGTTGCCTACTACCAGATCTAAGACATTTTTTGTTTGTTTGTTTAATGCTTGTGCATTTTGGGCTTAACATGTTTGTAATTTACAGTATTTAAAAATTAAAATGCTTAAAACTAGTGCGGACAATAGCCGGATGCATCTTTACCTACCTTGTGAGTGTCTTTCTGTGTTGCATTGTTTTTATTTACCATTCATATTTGAGCTTTCTCTAAATATGGAGTATCTCTTGCCTCCATATCCCGTATATGCATTCCTTTATTAAAAACTGTTTTCGTTATTTTTTTATTTTTAATATCTAATGGAAATATGGTGTTAGTCAACTTACCATCCCCCTTATATTTTGTAACACTAACACATCTAAATCAGACTTTACTTTAGTCATATTTTAACCTCAGCCAGTTTTAAGTCTTTTTTTTTTTTTTTAAACTGATGTACTATAACGGCATCATAAAACTTCTCTTTGGTCAGATTTTACCCACTGGTGAAATGTTGGCATTTTTATCAGTGGAATTTTTGTAATTAGATATTAAATACTGGCATTTCCGTTGAATTTTGTCATCTAATATGAAGCATTATTGGCCAACAGAAATTTAATTTGTCACAAAAGTATGCCAATTTATCACAAGACAAAAAATACTAGCATTATTAACAAGTCTACCTGAACCTAACATAATATTTAAGAACAATAAATATATACCGAAATGTGATTTTACTGACCTGTGGTCACTCCCCCACCCCCTCCCCCATCCTTTTTCCATTTTATTTTATCGTATTTCAATATATCTAATTGTAAATTTGCCATTTTCTTTGTATTTTTCCTCCTAGTTGCCTATGAACAAGTATAATGTCACTAAGTTTAAACATAGGCCTCTTTCTCTCAGTGAAAGCAGTTATATTTGTGTATTAGTGGGGCGAGTTAGTTCAGTCTCTAACCAGCACAGGGCTCATAGTAATACATCCCTGAGGTTGGACCTACATCAGGGAATTGTAGAGGGAAGTAAAGTGGATCGGCATAAGAATGGCTGTTTTTAACAATTTCTCTCTTAATCTGGACACATCTGCCTGATAAGCAAGGAAGCAACAGACTACATACAAATAAGCCAGATGTGTAAAAGAGATGTTTGTGCAGATTTCAAGTCCTGGAACTAAGCCAAAGTCCAGATGAGTGGACAGCCAGGACTTTATGTTAAAGTTTACAGCTAATGAATGCAAACAAACAAACACTTGTTGTGCAACTGACAAGCAAGTCAGTTTCAGATTTGGCTTATCTCAATCTCCTTAACTGTTGGCCAGGTTTCGCCAAGCTTACCATCCTTTTAAATCCAGATAGTTTCATCTGCCTTGGTTTGTTTCAAAGCACATTATTTGTGGCTGGTTTTGCCTTCCATTATATAACCACTAGTTTATCTGGCATCTGTAGATTAAATGATACAGTTTAACTTCTATAATATTTAGGGTTAGGTTGAGCTAAAAATACACAGCACGTGGGACATTCCCATAAGTGGGGCATCCTTATCTTTAACAGCCAATGAGGAGTTTCGGTACTGTTGGTCTTAGCAGTGGTCTGAGTATTTGTACATCTAACATTCCCTTCAAGTAGCCGGATCTACTGGCCTTTCCAGAACCATGCTACAGGACTCATTCCAATGAAAAAGGGAGACGGGCAGGTCAGTAATGATCTGAATCGTAAATGTGTTTGGCTGGACAGTCCTCAGATTATGACAACATCAAAATCTGATCATTGGAAATTTAAAGATCTAAACAAACTGTCAACAACTACATGATGGCCGGTCCCGCGACAGTGTTTTGAAACTATAAATAAATCGCTAGATCCACACCACCATGCTTTCATTCTTGATGTCGTTAACAGCTTGTGTATTTGATTTCCGTTTGTACATTTCTCTTGTCCTCTGTAACATTATAACCTGTTTACTGTTTATGATTGTTTCAGTGGGGACTTGAGGACTCTGAGTGAAAAACTAAAATAGAAGTGAGAATACATTTCTTTTCCCCCGTTTATTTATTTAATTTTCTTTCACACTAAAATAAGTACTTTATTGTTATAAGTTTTCTAGGTATTCCAGTATTGTTATTAATTTTCTTTTCTGTCTGGCTTTGCAAATTAATTGTTTTTGCTGCTTATGCATAATTTCTTTTTTGTTCTTTCTGGGTGTTTTTTTTTATATCATCTTCTGTTTTTATTTTCGAGTTTGTGCATTCTTTGAATTGTGTGTTCAGTTTGTCTTGCCTTATTTTTTGGCCACTGCTTTAACATTGGAAGAACATTTACTGCATCAGTTATTAATTTAACCATTTGTTTATTTCAATTAATTTATTACTTTTAAGTTGTTGCATCTGTGAATATTGTATTTTGGTGTTTTGTTTTGAAGTATTTGAAAAGGCATCATCTCTTATTTTCCCTGGTGAATTTATTTGAAACCCTGTCTTTAATACTGTTGGCATGTGTGTTTTTTTAATTATTATTTTTTTTTTTAATACTTCATTGAATTGACTTTTGGCATTGAAGAGTTTTGACATATCTGCAATTGATTTAATTTTTGTGTAAATTATTGCTTGGGTTAATTTTGTTCTCAAGTTGGAAGGTGAAGACAGGCATGCTTTGTGCAGAGTGGCATGCTTCACTTTGGAGGTCAAGGCTGGAGAGCATTGTCTGGTTATTTTCTGCCGGTGTGTGGGAAATGAACAGGCGGACAGATTGGCTGGCTTTGTACAATGGTGGAATATTGCTGTTGGATAAGGCAGACATTGTGAAGACTTTATGGGAGCACATTTACAATTTGGAACAGACTTGATCATCATAATCTGATAAGAGAGGGATACAGCGAGGAGTGACAAGGGGATCTGGCTGATACTCGATGTTCGGAGAAAAGGCAAGGTGGACATGTATTCAGAATGCTACTGGCACCATTGGTACTGGAACTGCGTTGGCTTCTGAAGATGGGGATGAAGCATTTATTGGAATGCTCCGAGTGCTGGGATTTCAGTTTTTGAATCAACTCAACTCCAGCTGGTAGGGAGTCATTGTTATACTTTTACAGCTGAAGGGGTTTGAAGTAATGCTTCTCTGGGACTGAAGGAGTTGAAGTAACAGCTTGGACTTGAAGATTTGAAGTGATGAACAGGGCACGTAGGTTGAAGTAATAAGTTCCCAGTGTGTGGGAAGAGGTATGCACCTTAATAAGCATATAATGAATGATGGACTAAAGTTGGATTGAAAGACCGAAAGATTGCAGCTTAGCTGTAAACCACAACATAAGGAGTCCCATGTAGAACCGCTGCTAGAATTCTGCCATCTGTGGCTGAAGTGCCCATTCAAAACTAGATCACAGTTTTGCTTCAGCAAATATATATATATCTGACTTTGCTCTGAGTTCATGACAGTACAGTCAGAGAGGCTGTTGACTCTTATTATAATGTTAATTAGTATGTGTCACACTCTTGTAAAAGTATGATATTGTAGAAGTGTCTTCTCTGGTATTTTGTGTGGTGTGCTTACTTTTGCATGAGTTGTTTCTTTCTTTCTTTGCACCCCCCTCTCCCCCCTTTTTTTTCAAAATATTTTTTTCAGATGCTGTTTAATCAGTGGGTAAAAACTAACTGCTGGTGTGTGCATTTAAAAAATGGCACAGGAATATTTGTTCAAGTGTGCCATTGGCTTGTTTCTGGTTTATTGTAATCTCTCCATCATTGTCTCTGTCCTGAGGTGGGGTGGTAGGTTTGCATGTCCATCATTGTTGTCTGTCAGTGCTGGAGTAGGGTTGGAGGTTTGCATTTCCACCATTATTGTGTGTTAATCCTGGAGTAGGGTTGGAGGTTTGAATGTCCACCATTGTTGTCTGTCAGTCCTGGAGTAGGTTTGAATTAGGGCTGTACCGAATATTCGCTTCGGGCCAGAATAGTGGACCTAATAACTATTCGGTATTCGGCCGAATAGTTGTGGTCGGGCCGAATACGAATAGTGGTTACCTCACCCCCGTTTCTCGACTGGTGGAAAATAAACATATCAAGATTTCCCACCTTGGTTCATACTGTTGAGCGTTATCTTTGTGCACCACCTACGAGCGTACCAAGTGAACGTCTGTTTAGAACAGCTGGAAATACCTTCAGTGAAACAAGAAGCTGCCTTAATGATAACATGGAATGATTTTTTTTTTTTTTTTGAAAGCTAATGCCGCTTTCATGGATTAACTAAGCTGTCAGTGACAATTTACAAGTTTAGTTACGTGTTATAAAACTAATAATACTTTCATTCCTATGTATTAGTTACCAAAGACTGGCTGACTGAAAGTGGAAGAATGGGCCTCAGTTTGAAAAGTGGGAAGACAGAAGTAATGGTGGTATCAAAGAAAATAATTATTCCTAAATGTGTAATAAAAGTCAATGGTTTTATTTTGGGACAAGTAAAGAAATTTAAGTATCTAGGCATATGGAAGACGCATTACTGAAATAAGAAACAGAATAGGACAGGCAAAAACTGCATTTTATAAAATGAAGAACATCTTATGCAATATATCTTTGTCATTGAAGGTTAGAAAAAGAATTCTTGCTTGCTACATACATCCAGTTTTAACATATGGCTGTGAGTCCTGGACAATCGGTAGGCAGGCCAAACAATTTCTTGAGGCCTCAGAGATGTGGTTTCACAGAAGAATGCTTAAAATACCTTGGACAGCAACAAAAAAAAAACAACCCAGAGGCGGGAGCCCGAAGACAACTACTCACAGACATCAGAAGGAGACAGTCATAATTTTTCGGTCATGTTATAAGATGAGGGAAAATGGAACATGTGGTGACCACTGGAAAGACATGTGGAAGGAGGGATAGAGAAAGACAACGAGAGAAGATTCTTGACAGTCTTGTTGCATGGCATGGAGGTGTGTCAGCACACGAACTAATACATGCTGCAGGAGATCGCAGATTGTGGCGAGGCAAAATCGCCCATGCCAGTCGACAAAGCACCTGATGATGATGATTCACTATTCGTATTCGGCCGAATAGTTGGTCCAGCTATTTGTATTCGGCCGAATAATGAAAATCACTGTTCGGTACAGCCCTAGTTTGAATGTCTACCATTGTTGTCTGTCAGTCCTGGAGTAAGTTTGAATGTCCACCATTGTTGTCTGTCAGTCCTGGAGTAAGTTTGAATGTCCACCATTGTTGTCTATCAGTCCTGGAGTAGGTTGGAATGTCCACCAATGTTGTCTGTCAGTCCTGGAGTAAGTTTGAATGTCCACCATTGTTGTCTGTCAGTCCTGGGGTAAGTTTGAATGTCCACCATTGTTGTCTATCAGTCCTGGAGTAGGTTGGAATGTCCACCATTGTTGTCTGTCAGTCCTGGAGTAAGTTTGAATGTCCACCATTGTTGTCTATCAGTCCTGGAGTAGGTTGGAATGTCCACCATTGTTGTCTGTCAGTCCTGGAGTAAGTTTGAATGTCCACCATTGATGTGTGTTAATCCTGAAGTAGGTTTAGAGGTTTGCATGTCCACCATTGTTGTGTGGTAATCCTGGAGTAGGGTTGGAGGTTTGTATGTCAGTCCTGGAGTAGGGTTGGAGGTTTGTATGTCAGTCCTGGGGTAGGATTGGAGGTTTTAATGTTCACCATTGTTTTCTGTTAGGGTTGGAGGTTTGCATGTCCACCATTGTTGTCTGTCAATCCTGGGGTAGGTTTGGATGTCCACCATTGTTGTCTGTTAGGGTTGGAGGTTTGAATGTCCACCATTGTTGTCTGTTAGGGTTGGAGGTACCTTAAGCAGCCTATACTTGGGAAACTCAGAAACACACACGAGTGTTGACTGCCAGTCAGATGGGAGTTCCTTGACTCGACTTATTACTTTCGTCTGACAAACCTCTGTAAAGTGGCCTAGATTTTCGGCTACTGCTAAGTCACAGTGCCAGGCTGTGTGATCAGCAGAAACATTCCCAGATTTTCTGAGATTGTGTCGGAGAAGTTAACCTGGGTAAAACAAATGCGTGATGAAGTCGAATGTGTTTGCTGAAAGGTACAACTATTGCAGCGTTGCTGTAAACAGTTGCAATGCAATCACATCACTCATACGAATAAGAAAAAGAAGACTTCACGTCATGTCAAAGTTCCTTATTTGGTCTTAGTGTCTTTGAATTTTTGTTGTGAACCCACCGCCTGAATCAAGTTTATCAAACAGTTGTTTGTTGAGATTCATGTCAGGAAGCTTTGTTTATCAGTGCATCTTGTAGAATAGGTTAAGATTATAATAAATGTTCCTTTGCTGTCACAAATATATATATATATATATATATATATATATATATATATATATATATATATATATATATATATATATATATATATATATATATATATATATATATATATATATATATATATATATATATATATATATATATATATGTACGTACGTACGTACATACACACACACAAGGTTACATAGCCTGGGCACTTATATCTTATCTTGTAATAAATTTCTGCTGAAACATCAAGAAAGATCGATTACCATCTTGATGTTTTGGTCCATCACAACAATTCAAGACTTGATTTTGTCAATTCTCTGTTGATGTATGGTTCACTTGCCTAATGCATGGGTGTCTTTGTTCCCTGTTCCATATTTTACATTTAACCATGGGAACATTAATTTATAGTCATTTTAAATATGTAGATAATTTTACTGGTGTGTGTGTGTGTATACATATGTAAGTAGATATGTGTGTATGTAATGTTCATTGGACACCAGGATAATTAATAGGGGTCCTAATGTAGCAGTAATGTGCAATACAAGACTGTTAATGTCTCTTAGCCTCTCTTGCTGAAGCCTGTCTCACCTTCATGTGGTGGGTTTTATTCTTCCTGGTAATCTAGTGGAAAATTGGGGTTCCATCCCCCATTAGGAATCTGGATGGGACAACAAATGAGATTAAGCTGAAATCTGAATCCGTCTGCCAGCTGCTGAGTTAAATG